ATAAATACAAGATCACCACAGCAGGTAGCTCCACATGTATGATTTGGCAGATTTGTACAACAGACACCCTTTCTGACATAACGCCGTAGGGGATTTGTGTCTCCTGCTGGTATTGAACCAGCAACGTTTACACTATGGAGCCACTAAATTAATAAGAAATATAATGAATACAGATGTTGTGCAAATGTTTAAGACAGTGTGGAGCTTCATGTGCAGTAAGAGGTCAGCATGGTCAGGATCCATTAATTATCCACATCCATTCACCACACCCACGCTCGTTAGGATGAGCCCCCGTCAGCTGATGGAGGAATCCAAACAGCGTGATGCAATGAAGCAATAATTCTGAGTAAAATGCATCTGAATGATATAAAATCCAAATTTTGTTCATTCAAAAAACGAATCATTAAAGAAAATGTGATTGGTATGTAATAAGATTGCTTAAAATCAGAATTTTGGGTGCAAATATTTTTCTTGCTGGTGGAAATCAGATTTAAAGTCTGGAAAACAAAAAAACTTTATGTCCATGTGCACATTTTTTCACAGGAATGAGTTTTTTTGTGCACAGGAAAAGCGGTATCAGTTCAAATAATAATAAAGGGTTGTTTAAAAAGAATTTATAAAGTGCTTTGAAAAGCAGGTGAAAGTAGAAAGCTTACAGGCTAAATGCAAATGAAAAGGCTGAAAAAAGTTAAAAAGAAAGAAAAACATGAAGATGCAAAATAGAAACGAAATAATTCAGATGAAGGAAAATGGCTAGATATAAAATCTATAAAAGACATGTAGTGGCATCACACAAAATCAAAGGGACCTTGCTCAAAAAATGAAGTATATTAAGTAGTCTTACTGTTATCTTTGAAGGAAGTGCGTGTTTTGTGGATTGACTGAAAGCATCAATCCACAAAACACAACAAATATTTTATCAAATCTGCAAACAAATTACACATTTTTGAGAGTTTTCTGTTCAGTGAATGCTAAATCAAAACTGAAAGAAGTGAAGGAATACCCCAAAAAGCTGAGGACGGCATCGCTGCAGCCTTCCAGAATTAATCAAAGTGTGTGGTGTAGTAGCCCGCTGCACAGTGATTTGCAGAGCAGGTATTCAGCAGTGCAGCACACATGTCATGTATTTGTAGTTGGCTTCAATGAGCACGAGCGTTCCTGCTGGTACAGTGACAGCGAGAGATCCTCAGCGCACGCTAATAACACGTTTCTGTCAGCAGAGCTAAAACCTGTTTGAATTCAGGGCTCAAATAAAGGCTAACAAACCGTGCTCTGCCATCTCTGCATTCAGCGGTCAGTTCGAAATACAAACAGAAGCACCTGTCCATCAAAAATAAAGTCAATTATTTATGGGAGAATCATCAGCTGACCTCAGAACAGCAGAAAAACTTCATGAATCTGTTATTTTTTGTTTCTTTCCACTGCAACACATCTCTGCTGTGCAGACCAGCTGGACTCGTCTAGCAGAACATCTGCCATCGTTGGTTGTTCAGTTTCTCAACACTCAAATTGCCATTAAATCAGAGTTTAGGAGATTTTAATTAGTTAGAGATTTTATTCATGCTGAGTGATTAAATCTAACTTGATATAACTGTTTGGAAAGTGTGACACAGCCGACCGTGACTTTGATCAGTTGCAGATGAGTCAGCCCGTCAGAGAACAGCACTCAGACTCATTATTACTTGGCACTGAGAAGAGTAGACATGTGGCTCCTGTCAGCACGATTACTCACATCTAATAAAAAACACAGACACCTGTGGAGCCGACACAGCTGCATGAAAAGTAAAATTAAACTACACAGGGGACCATCGCTTCCATGACGTGCCCTCAGCGTCATGACGGACCCTAATGCTAGATTCGATAAGCCACAGACCCGAGCTCAGAATACTGCAACAGCTGCACACCTGCAAGCCACTCTGCAACCCTCCTCCACACCAGCTAATCCATTTCTTACCTTCGGGGAGATTTAACTCTGCTCAATTAATATTAATTAATTAATTAATTAATTAATTTGCACAATTTAAGCTAACATGAGCTAGCATGAATCCCAAGAAGGAAACTTTTCCTGTAATTTTTATTTTTATTCTCATAAAATCCTGATTTAGAAAAATATTTTCTTTTGCAACATAAACTTTTAAACTTTTTATTCATATCAGCTTCGAACTTTATTACAGCAACTCTCTGAACTTCAAACTAGGAAAACAAATGATTGGATATTTGAAACTGAATTATTAACAGGTCTGTGCAGAGTGAACTTAAACACGGCGTTAATACCTTTATTTTATTTTTGTTTAATTTTATATCTGTAACACATAAATCTATAATTATGTACATTGCATTATGTGCTTTTTTGAACTTTTAAAGTCATGCTAAAAACATGTAGGCTATGATCTCCACTGCAGTTAGAAAGCAAAATATTTTTGACTCGGCTGTTCTGAATTGAGGTTAATGACTTTGATAATGATAATTACTCTGGATCGCACAAATGTATCATTTTTTTAAACCTTTGATGCTTTTCAATCAAAATAAACATCACAAAAATGAAAAAAAGAATATTTAGATTTTTTTTCAGATGAAGAAACTTTATTATTGCTGTCATGTTAGCTGACTTGAGATGTAGAGAAGTGTTTAAAAAGGGATGTTCTGCACTCAGCTTCACCTCTGTTCGGGTTTCTAATGAGCTGCTTTATTTCTAAATGCTGAAAATGATCTCATTTAAGCCTCACTTTCCTTTCAGCCCTCTGCAGTGTGTATGGGGAAGCCTGTCACTGTTTCTGGGAAAGAAAAAAACTGTTTGTGCGGTTTATTAGTTAAAGCTCCACTCACTGAGAGGTGGAATAAGAGCAATTAAGAATAAATTTAGTCAATAAATAACAAATGAAGACAGACAGTTACTAATGTTCCCATAACTACTTTAAATGCTTTTAATTTTCTTTTGACTTTTGCAGCTTGCCTGTAATTTCATCATTGTTTGTCTCGGCATAGTCTTGCCTTTTGTCTTATTCTCTCTCAACCAAATCTTCTTTCCAAAGATTTTTTCTGGTGCAATAACGAGGCTTCCTACAAAGCTTTGTTTCATGTTTCAGACAGCATGAAACTAACAGCTGACACGATTCTGGGCCTGTATCTGTAAATGCTTTTGTTTGGAAGATATAACAGCAACAAATGAGACATTAAAAGGTCTTAAAAGTCTTAAAATAGTTTTTAAGATTATTTAATGTTTCTGATGCTGAGATAATACCAAAGATGAGTACCAGAAAAATGACTTATTTCTAGTCTGTTTTAATTAAGATTGGATTTCTCAACCCTGACTTATGCCAAACCATATGATTTAAAACCTTCTGGACAAACAGTCTCTGTTAGCTGGATCACCTCAATTATTAATAAGAAACTGACAAACTAACAAGCCTGAGCTTGGCTGTTACTGGCATCTGTGATTGATAATGTGACTTCTAACCCGCTTTCATGTCCAGATTATTTGAAACTGTTATTAGCAGCAAAATGTTCACAACAGTGT